CTAGTATTCCAAAGTCGTAGGTTCGAATCCCACCGTGGCCGGGCATATTTTTCAAGCTCGCCCGGTGTGGATATGCACTCAGAGTAACATCACAAAACATATTATTCACCTGAGTACACAACACCAGCACAGAAAAAAAAGTCTTTTAAATGTTTTCGTTTCGCTACCAACGTTAATTTCGTGTTATATACGAACCAAAGATCATTTGTATTTTCAAAACAACAATAAACAAAGGAGTAAGATCATGGAATTATTTCATTGTTCAAAGCGCAGGAAAGCACACTTCGATATATGGCATAACTTCTTTTAGTATATGGCACAAACGTGTCACCAGAATATAATTGTATCGAGGAATCTTGTAATGTTATAAGATTCCTCGCGCTCAGAACGGCCATCTTGCTCTTCGTATATTAACGCCAAACAAAAAATTTGTATAATCCTTCTTAACAAGCTTATTAACCTTACTAACCATATCGAAGATTTATTTTGTATAAATTGTAAATATTTACCAAATAGTTGTTATCGTAATTGAATACGTCTACATGCTACGTACCAGCGGTATCTGCATTATTTTAACATCGAGACGAGGCTATAGGGTCATGTTTTGTGTTTTTTGACCCTTTAGCCTCGTTTTCGGGCGTACTTCCACTGAGATACCGCCGGTATTCCGCAGCGGCGTATTCAATTACGATAACAGCTATTGTATTCATTTTATGTATATATAGTCGTAATCTTTAATACTTTTTATGCTTGTACATATCAAAATAGTGCGAGGGCCGTATGTTAGATAACATTTATTTTTAGTACGTTTTTACCCTCATGAAATAAAGCTTCTATTCTATTCTATTCTTTTCCCACTTTGATTCTACCCTCTTATTATCAGTAAAAATCACCGTCATAATAGTTCGTATAAAACGCGAATGCGTGGTAATGTAAATAAATATGACACATTTTGAAAATATACAGTATTGGGAACTCCGAAAATAAACATTTTAATAATATTCTAGCTTTCGACTAAGATTCAGTCATCATCAGGAATCATTCCTGATGATGACTGAATCTTAGTCGAAAGCTAGAATATTATTAAAATCTTTATTTTCGGAGTTACCGTTGTTTTATATTTTGACTTTCTAATGCAGTGCTTCTTTGTGCAACACTCTTAAAAATTGTAATTTTTTGACAATGAAGGTTTGTGTTGCGAGTTGCAAAGAAAGTTGAACTTGCTTCATCATCGAGTTTTTGATTTGTTGAAATCTAATGAAAAATTAGATGCAATGGAAAGTTGTCAGCAGTATGTGTTAGATTGTTTAGTGAAAACAACCGAAAAATAAACCAAATTTTGGTTGTGTTAACCAATAAAACTGGTCATATAACTACATCTAAGACAACCAATTGAAGTGGGTTTTTACAGGATACCAGTAAGCAATTAAGATTAAGTAAAAAGTAACGCAATAAAAAAAATAGGGGATTATTTTTTTATTTTAGAAATACGTGTAAAGTTTGTAATAACTTTACGACGCAATTTTGTTGAAGAACTAAACAACAAATCATCTCCACTTTATATTGAATTGAAGAAGAACATCGCAGCTGAGGTGAGATTAATGCATCGCATACTTTCATAAGTTCATCTTTAAATCCAATTAAAGAGCAATTTTCTTTTACATGTACCTTCCTTTTAAATATACATTTCATATTGCTACGACTATTGCAATAAAATTGGAATTTGGAAATAATCTTTACTACACATTCAACCAGCCAAACCGCTGACACAAAATTGTGTTGTGATTTGGGTCAAATTTCACTTATATTAGTTGAAAATATTTTTCAATGCGCAAATAAGATAAATGTCACAGATGACAGATTGCACCAGATATCTCACTCAGCAAAAATTGTGTCCGTGATTTTTTATGAGCACGCGTTGGCCGCCATTTTGGCTGTAAATGTAATCCACGCCATGAAACGTGACCATGCAATCACTACGGTGGCCGATAAGGGCCACCTCTGCTGCATGGAAACGCGACTGTGCTGCATGGAAACGCGACTGTGCTGCAAGGAAATGCGACTGTGCTGCATGGAAACACGACTGTGCTGCATGAAAACACGATTGTGCTGCATGGAAACACGACTGTGCTGCATGGAAACACGACTGTGCTGCATGAAACACGATTGTGCTGCATGGAAACACGACTGTGCTGCAAGGAAATGCGATTGTGCTGCATGGAAACACGACTGTGCTGCATGGAAACACGACTGTGCTGCAAGGAAATGCGATTGTGCTGCACAGAAATGCACCTGTGCTGCATGGAAATTGACGATCAACCTCGTACCAAGGGTCCCCGTGTTTAAAGGTTCTGGTGCACGAGTTGGGACCTTTAAACACGGGGACCCCTGGGTACGAAGTTGATTGACGATGTCAGTACAAACACAGGTGGCCCAATATCGCAAGCGTCAGTATAGTAATGTGTATTATAGCAAAATTATGTCATAAAATATAAATTTTAAAATGAAATTGACTTGCCTATTTGATAGTGTGTGTTCTCCTTTTATTTCTCTTTTGTTAGACTAATATTTTTCGAGACTTTGCACTCGATGGACGATGGTACTAATATACATACTATATGATAAAGGCAAACTACTTACAATCCATCGTCGGCTTATGCAATATTTTAATTTTGGGATAGGTAATAGGACCTCTACATGCGTCTTGGATCTGTGGTGTACTTAAAATCATTATTTATCTAATGGATTACTGTTATTTTCAACGGGGTCTTGAAAGTAGACCATGCCGTGAAACATTGTATAAAAGGTGCACGCGTTGTTTTGTGTCTCTTTTTGTTATTCCATTGTAGAAATATCGTGATCGAAGTTAGCATGTGCTGTATGTAAAGTTATTACTTGGTAATTGATAGGTGTAATTTGACGATGCACATGAATTTATCGATATCACAGGGTCGGATTTGACCATACTGCGATGTTGTAAATTAGGAATTGGTAACAAGACTTGTGATTTTGCGCTGTGTAATTTTCCTGTATCTCATTTGAGTAAATGATTTTCTTAAAAATATCTTCACAGGGTCTGGAAAGTAGACCATGCAGTGAGATATTGTAAGCTTAATCCTTGTTGTTAACTGTGTATTCCATAATCTGTCCGTCACATGTGGTTAAGTCTATGTGAGGATTGTAGGTTTATCCCTTAGTATTAAAGTATGGATACAGTTAGATTATGTACATACTCACAGGGTCTTGAAAGCAAACCATGGCGTGAGATATGCATGTCATGAGTCCTATGGTTTGTGTCATGTATGTAACTATTGATAGGTAGAATAAGTAGTTGTTGTACAATCTACAAAAATGCGGTTTATAGAATCTGGCAGAACATTTAATTATGCCACAAGGGTAAACTTTATTTAAAATTGGTGTCTTAGACTAATCATCCCAGATGTTTTGTAAAATGGCGCCCAGATAATTACGATAATTACGATAATTATTAATTACGATATTTCTACAATGGATTCACATATAAGGATATGCAACGCACTGTTATACACGTGCACCTCTTATACGGGGTCTCACGGCATGGTCTACTTTCAAGGCCCCGTTGAAAATATAAGAAATCCATTGGGTATATGTGTGTATATGTATGTATATGTGTATATGTGTATATGTGTATGTATGTATATGTGTGTATATGTGTACATATATGTGTAATGAATATAAGTAAACCACAGGTCCAAGACACATGTAGAGGTCTTATTACCTATTCCAAAATTAAAATATTGCAAGCCCTATTACCAATTCCTAATTTGCAATATCGCAGTATGGTCAAATCCGGCCCTGTGATAAATTCATGTGCATCATCAAATCACACCTATCAATTACCAAGTAATAACTTTACATACAATACACGCTAACTTCAATTACGATATTTCTACAATGGATTTACATAAAAATACACAAAACAACGCACGCATTACACGCGTGCACCTTTTACACAATATTTCACGGGATGGTCTATTTCAAGACCCCGTTGAAAATATAAGAAATCCATTGGATGAATAATGATTATAAAATATAAGTAAACCACAGGTCCGAGACGCATGTAGAGGTCCTATTACCTATCCCAAAATTCAAATATTGCGAATTTTTTTGGAGAATAAAGCGATTTGAGTGGGAGAATTTTAGATTCGAAGTGCCGTGCAGATGGATCGATGATTGTAAGTAGTTTGCTTAAAGTATCATATAGTATGTATATTAGTGTCATCGTCCATCGAGTGCAAAGTCTCGAAAAATATTAGTCTAACAAAAGAGAAATAAAAGGAGAACACACACTATCAAATAGGCAAGTCAATTTCATTTTAAAATTTATATTTTATCACATAATTTTACTATAATACACATTACTATACTGACGCTTGCGATATTGGGCCACCTGTGTTTGTACTGACATCGTCAATCAACTTCGTACCCAGGGGTCCCCGTGTTTAAAGGTCCCAACTCGTGCACGAGGTTGATCGTCAATTTCCATGCAGCACAGGTGCATTTCTGTGCAGCACAATCGCATTTCCTTGCAGCACAGACGTGTTTCCATGCAGCACAGTCGTGTTTCCATGCAGCACAGTCGTGTTTCCATGCAGCACAGTCGTGTTTCCATGCAGCACAGTCGCATTTCCTTGCAGCACAGTCGTGTTTCCATGCAGCACAATCGTGTTTTCATGCAGCACAGTCGCATTTCCTTGCAGCACAGTCGCGTTTCCATGCAGCAGAGGTGGCCCTTATCGGCCACCGTAAATCACACATTTTGGCAGTAAGCGCCGGTTTGGCTGTAAGTGTCGCACGTGTCTGCGTAGAAGTTGTAAGAATTAAGTCAAGTCTGTGTAGAAGTTGTAATATAACATCGTAATGTTCTATCAAGTAAAACCTTATCTCAAATTTGCTTTATTTTTGTGTATTTGTGTAGCTGTATGAAATATTGAAAGACACTCATAATTTTCAAGATGTTGTGGTATTAGGATTCAGGTAAAAGAAAAAAATAAACGTAAGCCTGCCGGCGATGTTGCATGGGACAATTTTTCAATGGCGATTCGCTACGCTTTGCCAACTAATTAGGTTTCGCATAAAAATTGCCGATCAAAATCGTTCCGTCACAGAATAAAGAAACAAACAGAAAGACCAGCCTTTTGATGTTTTTGACCCTGCCGCCTCGGGACGGAAATTCACGGCGGTCATGTTGCCGCCAAGTACAGTAGATTACAGCAAGAATAATATGGAAATGTATTGACGAGAAGTGCATATAATTAATAAAATGGAAATTTCGGTCATCCTGTCTTTTATCGTATTTTCTGTGGATAGTACAAAAAAAGGGCGTTTAGAGGAGTGCATTTTTGTATTTATGAGATTAAAAACCGTATTGAAAGTAATTGAAATCGTTCGTAAGGGTGAACTGTATGTGGACATAGGATACGCCAAAAAGCACTGAGCTATACTATATTATTGGAGGACCTGCCCGGATAAAAAAGTGAAGCCAAAAACATAGCGGATTTGACGCCATTGCCATGACAACACTTACTTTATTTTCATGGTAACTGCCACTGACCAACCGAGAACCAAAGCATCCAACGATGTCTTTTACCCCCTGTTCTTTGGACACACTTGTTATTTCTGTTGTTTAACTTATTTTTGAGCTAAAAAATGTAATATTTCCCTATCACATTACTCGTTTTACAACGCGGAGAAAGAGTACGGGTTTGCTTTGGTTGCGGATGCAGCACTTCAATACAAAGGAAGACTAATTTTTCAGGTAAGATTCACGAAACTTTTTTAACTGTATAGACGACTAGACACTTGTATTGCTTGGTCATATTATGTCAAAAAAAAACAACAACTCATCATTCTACAAAAAAAATACCAGCAAATATTTTAATAGCAAACACAAAAATATTTTTATGACTAAATTTGTGCACATGAAATTATGTTATTTATTTGTCAGGCTGTCAGCATTGGTTTTTGTGATTTTATTGCCAGACTGGCAGTTCTTACTTTTTAATTACTTGTAATTGTGGTTGTTTACATGTAGATGTTCATAAAGATTTAATATAGTGTGGAATTTATATATTATATATACAATCTTAAAATATATCTTCTTTAATATATGTATATATATATATATATATATATATATATATATATATATATATATATATATATATATATATATATATATATATATTGAGTTGTGTAATTGTACACTCCGTAATATGTTAAGGTGAAAATGTTCTCGAGTGTGTATGATATATTTTCCATACCCAGCGTAAGCAGAGAGATAAAGTTTGCCGCGGCTGGGTCTTGAACCCGGGACCTTCGAATATATGTATATATATATATATATATATATATATATATATATATATATATATATATATATATATATATATATATATATATATATATATATATATATAGTATTGTAGTATATATAGTTCTGTAGTGTCCCACATCCACCACACTGTCTTCTATAGTATATATATTCTTGGTATGTGGAAGCTCATCATCGGTGCACTGTGCTGATGAGCCCCAAAAAGGGCGAAACAGCTGTCCACAGTTGCCGTTGTTTAAGCTTTCCTTGAAGGGCGCTACAATGTCTTTACTTATGTGCTTTATCGCCGTTTTTAAACTGTGAAATGCAGTGAGTGTGCGCATATAAAGGCTTAGGCATAATGTGTAGTATATAAAGTTCTGTAGTGTCCCACATCCACCACACTGTCTTCTATAGTATATATATTTTTGGTATGTGGAAGCTCGTCATCGGTGCACTGTGCTGATGAGCCCCAAAAAGGGCGAAACAGCTGTCCACAGTTGCCGTTGTTTGAGCTTTCCTTGAAGGGCGCTACAATGTCTTTACTTATGTGCTTTATCGCCGTTTTTAAACTGTGAAATGCAGTGAGCGTGCGCATAAAGAACCATCCTCAGAGATAGGAAAACTAGTTTCATATTAAGAATAATATGAAACTAGTTTTCCTATCTCTGAGGATGGTTCTGAAATAGAATTGAAACACTGCGCGTCCTCAAAGACAAGCGTTAAGTCGTCACGAAAATATTTCGTGCACTTAAATTGGATAAGACTCGCTACCAATCCCTGTTGACTCGATGGCTCAATAGGTAGAGCGGCGGTCTAGATACCCGAAGATGCGAGTTCAAATCCCGCTCGAGCCAACGAATTTTTCGTTGCTCGATTGCAGTGTCAGATTAATATGAAACTAGTGCGCATAAAGGCTTAGGCATAATGTGTAGTATATAAAGTTCTGTAGTGTCCCACATCCACCACACTGTCTTCTATAGTATATCTATTCTTGGTATGTGGAAGCTGATCATCGGTGCACTGTGCCGTTCATAAAATGAATTTTGACATTGTTGATTCCTGATCTACGTATTACTAAAAGGGCGCGTCGTTTAAGTTCTTCATTAATGTAGGGAAGTTTCACATAGATATTTTCTCGTTTGTCATCCTTACGTGGTTTATTGCGTGTTGTGTGTCTTATTATATCCCTAACAAACCTTCTAGGATATCCATTGTTCACGAACAATGCAAAGACCTTATTAAGAGATTCTTTGCAATGAGTTGGGTTCGTAGAGCAACCAATGGCCCTTCTTGCTGGATATATATATATATATATATATATATATATATATATATATATATATATATATATATATATATATATATATATATATATATATATATATATATATATATATATATATAAAGGGTGTGAAAGAAATGTAAGAAAGCACGATGTTTAACGTGCAAAAATATTTAGATAGATCAACTTTATTTAAACACATTGCCCTTTTCAGCAAAAGCTGATTTCCAAAAGGGATGTGTACTTACAAATTATTATTTATATACTAGCTCTAATATTACATACATAACAAATACAATTATATACCTATTTAGACAAAAAATTAACTACTAGCCTACTTTAAGTCGAGGTTAAGGTCGAGGAAGATAGCTTTTTACAGAACGAATTATACGATACCGAATTGCGTATCTCTTCAGGTATCTGATTCCATAGTTTAGCCCCACTATATTGGAAGCTCTTTTTTAAGGATTCCGTTTTTGGTCTTGGAATATAAAACCTTGTTGAAGAACCTCTCAGATTATGGTCATGAATGGTATTCAGATTTTGGAAAGCTTCACATAGTCGTTGGGGGGCTAAACCATTAACTGTCTTGTACATGAGCCTGGCTTTCATTTGTGCCCTACGCTCTTCAAGTGTTACCCAGCCTAGAGATTTTTGTGCCAAAATAGACTGACCATGTTCATTTTTTAAGTTCATGATCAACCTAGCCGCTCTGTTTTGGAATTTCTGTAGACGTTCGCTTAGGCCTTTATTAAGTGTATCCCATACTTCACAGCAATAATCAAAATAAGGTTGGATTAAGGCATTATAAACTTTTATCAAAATGTCTTGTTCGACATACTCCCTCATTTTCCTAATAGCCCCAATACCTGATGATATTTTACTGCTAATATGGTTAATGTGTTTTTCCCAACTCAAGTTTTCGTCTAATTCAACTCCAAGAGCTTTGGTATTTTTAACTTTTTTAATCAATTGATTATTTATTTTAAGTCCTTGATGGGTATCAATATTACTTATTTTATGTCGTGTTCCAATTAAAACATACTCGGTTTTCGCTATATTTAGACTTAGTTTATTTGCACAAAGCCATTTCTGAACATTCCTCATGTCTACGTTCGCCCTCTCTTCCGCCTCACTAATTGTTCTGCCTACTGCCGTTAAGTTAGTATCATCAGCAAACATTCTTGGAGTTGTGCGTTCTAGGCAGCTTGGCAGATCATTTATATACATAATAAATAAGAGAGGGCCGAGTATACTTCCCTGAGGAATGCCACAAATGATTTCTTTCTCCACCGAGAGTATGCTGGCCAATTGACAACTTTGAGTTCGGTGCGTCAAATAGCAACGTAAAAGATTTAATGCTTTCCTTTGGAAACCATACATTTCAAACTTACTTAACAGTATTTCGTGGTCGACTGTATCGAATGCTTTTTTAGGTCAAGAAAAACAACTAAGTTATACAGCCCACGGTCCATGTTGGTATACCATTCGTTCGTACAATCCAATAATGTAGTAGTTGTGGAATGATAAGGTCTGAAACCAAATTGGTGTTTTGAGAAAAGATTATTCTGGTTAAGATACTCATACATTTGATCATACATAATTCTTTCCATAAGTTTACTTACTACAGGAAGGATTGATATCGGTCTATAGTTGTCCAACATGGACCGCTGACCTTTCTTAAACAATGGAATAACCCTTGCAGCTTTCCAATCAGAAGGAAATTGATCCGAGTCAATTGACATATTAAAAATCTCAGTAAGAGAAGGTGCAATAACTGGAGCTGCTACTTGTAGAATTTTAGCTGAAATTTTATCCATTCCAGTCGCTTTGGTGGTAGACAAGTTAACTAGAAGAGTGTAAACCAATGTTACACTCACTGGTCGAAATGAGAAACTGTTCTTTGTCTTAGATTTTTGTTGAGTAATAAAATCTCGAAAACTAACGTCATTGTCATTTGGAATAGACTCAGCAAGCTTTGGGCCAATATTACTAAAATGATCATTAAAAATGTCGACTAAATCGTCGGTCGATGTAACAGTTTTACCTGGGAGTTTAATTTCATTAATCGTAGTCTGTTTTCTGTTTCGACCTAATATATCGTTTATTGTTCTCCAAGCATATTTAGGATTCTGTTTATTATTTGTGAATTTGTTTGCATAATAATATCTTTTAGCACTGCGCAAAGCAGTGTTGGCAACATTTCTAGATGACTTATATAGTCTCCAGTCTTCTTCTTTATTTGTCTTTATTGCTTTACGCTTAAGAGCATCTCTTTTAAATAATTTTTCCTTTACTTCCCGGCTTACCCAAGGAATATTGCGCCCTTTTCTTAATCTTTTTACTCTCACAGGGGCATGTTTATCCAGCACATCTACAAAAAATGTTTTCCATAACCGCCACATTTCATCTACATTTCTTTTAAATCTTATTTCTTCCCAGGGTATATTTTGTAAGTCATATAGAAAGCCTGAAACATTGAAATTCTTAAAATTTCTATACTCGACAGAACCTTGTAAATCAGATTTTATTCTTGTACTTATTTT